AGCCACTCAGGTGCAGCTCCGTGTGCGTTCGTGCGTGTGTCTGTGTCTGTGTCTGTGTCTGTGTGTGCGTGTGTGTGTGTGTGTGTTTGCGTGTGTGTGTGTGTGTGTGTGTGTGTGTGTATGTATGCGTCTGGGGAGAACGAAAGCAAGAGAGCCAAGCTTCAATGTTGGGTGACATGTTGCTGTCGTTGGCCAACCATGTCATGTTCGTACGCTACACATTGTGTGTGTGTGCAGGTATGTGCTGACCAAAATGCTTGGAGTGAGCAGGAGCAACGCCCGCAAGTCCTTGGCGATTGTCAAGGTATGAAACGCAACATCGGGTGTGTTGCGTGCACCCTCACTCACCCACGCACACCCACGCACGTACACGCACTCACACACGCACTCTAACACGCACTCGCACACACACACACTCTCTCTCACTCTCTCACCCACCCACTCACCCACACGCACACACACACACACACACTGTCAGGAGCTTTACGACGAGCTGGATGCGCTCTTTGCTGACGGGCGGCCGTACATATGTGGCGATCACTTTACCATCGCTGACATCACCCTCGCCAGCCTCGGCGCACTCACAACACTGCCCGAAGGATACACAGGTGTGGGCGCAAGGCGTGGCGCGTGGCTTGGTTCGGCATTTGTTGTTGCATGTGTACTTTGACTTCTTTTCGTCACTGCCACCGTCACTGCCTCACCACCACTGCCACTGCCACTTGCTTGTCTCCCTCCGTCTCCTTGCAGGCGGCGCTGCCGAGCACGCGCTGCTGTCGATTGATGACATGAAAGCGATGGGCGTTGATCTCGCCTTTGTGGAGGAGATTCAGTCCTTCCGCCAGCGGCCAACCGGACGCCACATCCTGCGCATGTATGCGCAAGAACGCTCTCACGTGATGCAATCATCATCGGCAGCATCGTCAACGTCGGAACCAGTGTCAGCATCAGCATCAGCACCAACACAACAGCTGCCCTCATCATCTACAACATCAACATCGACGACATCAGAGCATGATCTTCATGGGAAGAACACAAGCACTGATGCAGCCAAGAGCGAACAACATACGCCGGCACCCAATACACAGACAGACAGCAGCGATGGTGAAGGCAGTCGAGACGCCAAAAAGGACCTGTAGCTGCGTGCGTGTGTATGTGTATGTGTGTGTGTGCGTGCGTGTGTGTGTGCGTGAGGTTGATTACACCCGTTGTTTCTTCACCCTACCCCCGCCATGTGTGTTGATCTTTTCTGCCTCCTGCGTTATCTGTGAATGGCAACTTGGGCTCTGCACTGCGTTTTACTTCTTCTCAATCCTAACCACTGCACAGGGAACGAGTTCACTGCTCGCTTGCTTTTTTCCCTGGCCATAAATACAAACGACAACAACAACACCCATCATGAAATGTTCTCAACACACGCAACACAAACACACACACACACACATAAGCAGAGTCAACCGCACACACACACACACATGCACACATTCTCTCTTAAGCAAGTGAAACCCAACACAAAAGGGTGAATATGAACAGAAAGGAAGCTTCTATGACAGTTGTATGCACACACATATGAAATTGATGAGTCTAACTGCTTACGCACGGTGAGCTGTGAGCCACACCCTGCCGCCACCGCCATCCCTACATCCCCCTCCATAGATCACCATCACTATCAATCGTCATCACCATGAACATTCATCACCATCACTATCAATCGTCATCACCATGAACATTCATCACCATCCACCGTCCCCGCCATCCATCATCACTGCAGCGTCACGTCACTGCCGCTTGATCTGCTCGTAGTCGGGCAGGTCACGAATCACCAGCGTGCCGTTGTCGTCGACAGAGACAATTGCGTGTCCTTCCAGCGCGTCCCAGGCATCCTGGTGGTGGTTGTTGCAGCCATGGCGAGTGTTGATGGCAGGTGTTCGTCATAACATGTTTCGAACATCATGCACGTCGTCGTTCGCGCAAGTGTACATGAGCACACACACACACACGCACGCACAAGCACACGCACACACACGCACACACACGCACACGCACACACACACACGCACACACACACACGCACACGCACACACGCACACACACACACGCACACGCACACAGAGAAACGGTAGTTGCCCACCTGTGCCTCCTTGACTGTCATGTTTCGGCGGAAGACAGCATCCACATCAATGCCTTCAGTCGTGTCAAGGCGCAACCGCGAAAGAATCACCATCACCTGCACGCCCCACTGCTTGCTCTCGTATCCAATGCCATCCAGCAGCTTGTAGTTGTCTTTGTGTTCAGATGCAAGCGGACCACAGGCGGCCATCACCTGAACAGCCAACGCACGTCGTGGTGTGTGTGCGTGTGTGCGATTGAGTCCTTGTAATTGCTTTCCAGCCAATGTGCGTGAGCGTGTGGAGGACTTGTGTGTTCGCGAGTGTGAGGGTGGGACCAAGTTTTCTGTGCAACACGGCCATAGCTGCAAGTGCAGTCAATGACAAGAAAGGACGCACCGATTTCGACACATGCTTGACGTGTGCAATGACATCATCCGCTTGTTCCGCCAGCGTGTTGATTGTCATCTGCATGCACAAACACGTAACACAGATGGCAATGTCAATGTGAGTGATAGGAAGAGACAACAGCACCGACAATATCGTGGAGTGGCAACCAACATGATCGCCAAAACACACACACGCTCACTCACACTCACACACGCGTCTCGCCCACAACTGCCACCACCATCACCACCGTCACCATTACCACCACCATCACACGATGGTCGCACCTCTTTTAAGCCGCAGATGAGTTTCTGGGCGGCAATGAACCAGCGGGCCATCGCACGGTGCACATCAGACACCTGCACCCAGAAAATCAGGGGTTGGTTTCATCGTCAGTCGTGCAGAGGCAGCCGCCCTCAGTTGAGTGGGAGGCGGGGTGCGGACACGCCCGACGACACAGCAGTAGTATTGAACAAGCGTGCTTCGTTGCCAACTTCCACCAACTGTCACCCACTATCACCAACTGTCACCAACAATGACCAACACACAACGTCAAGATGCAAACAAAAACAAGAGCACACGTTGGTGTGCGCACCTCGTCGACTAAGCGGTTGCACTGTGCCATGGTGTCCATGGATATGGCCAGCACCCAATCGCTCGCTTGCGAAAGAATCGGTTTGATTACGTAAGGGCGCGACACGTGCTCCCGCGCCGCATCCACTTTCAAACGCCTGCATTGTGTGTGTGTGTGTGTGTGTGTGTGTGTGTGTGTGTGTGTGTGTGTGTGTGTGTGTGTGTGTGTGTGTGTGTGTGTGTGTGTGTGAATGCGTGTGTGTTGGACAACTCAGGCATCACAGCGTGCAACTCCTCACCCACCATCACCAAAGGCACCACCACCATCACCAAAGGCACCACCACGACCACGACCACCACCATCACTTGCGTGCATGTGTGCATCCCCGACTCACCAGATACTGATGACCGCCGTCAACTTCTTCAGTTTCTCGTCGTCACTCGACTTGTCCGAACGCAGCATCACCAGCCTGGTTGGTGGATGGATGGTTGAAGCGTGCATGCGCATGAATGATCGTTGAGAGTCCACACGCGGCGACACTACACATGAGTCGGCCTGATCTACTCCCAAACAGTACACTGCATTGGCATCTCCACACCTTCACGCACACGCACACGCACACGCACACGCGCACGCACACGCACACGAACACGCACACGCACACGCACACGCGCACGCACACGCACACACAGATGCCGTACATGCGCTCTGCTTCGTTGCGAAGAAACGCCAATGCATTCACAAACGCGCTGTTGACGCCAATCCTCTCCTCAACCTGTTGGTGCAAACGGAATTCATGGCGTGAGGACACGCATGGGCACGCATGAACAATGACACCGCCAGCTTCTGCTGATGGCTGTGTAAACAACGCACGCCTCCCTCCCAAACATCAGACCACCGTCAACAGCAACAGCTATGTCAACTGTCAACCACCATCGTCAACTGTCATCATCATCACTAACTGAGACAACGAGTGCGGCGACGTCTTCGTTGATGGTCTTGAGCTTGTGCCCGTGTTTCGTTTCAAGCGGTGGGAAGCACTTGTTGAGGATTTGAACAACGCGTATACACGTGTCCATGGCACTGTCTACTTGCTTGTCACGTTGCTGGGTTGTTGTACAGTGGGTGAGTGAGTGAGTGAGTGAGTGAGTGAGTGAGTGAGAGTATGTGTGAGTGAGTGAGTGAGTAAGTGAGTGAATGTGTGAGTGAGTGTGTGAGTGAGTGAGTGAGTGAGTGAGTGAGTGTGAGTGAGTGAGTGTGTGTCAAAGCGGGAGGGCGATGATGCGCACCAACGTTGACGTTCACACGTGCAACGCTGCAGGTGTTGCTATACAGCATCGTCACCAACATCGTCAACAATAGTGGCATTGTGATGAACATGATGACACCACAACCCAGTGCTCACCTGCAAATCTGAGAGCCGAATCCCGATGAAACTGTCCAGAACATCAGACAGCGCCCTGCACACACAGGCACACACACATGACCACAATGTCAGCGTGATCGTTTCAGTCATGGCTGTCATATCACATGACACATTCACAGCGGGCACGCACTTCATGCCAATGTTTGCGCTCACCGTTCCCAATGCTCGAGCGTGGAAATGGCGCGCGCAATAACTTTGCCTGCAGGCAAAATGGAAACACACACACACACGCACACACGCACACAAACACAAACACACGCACAAAACGCAAGAAAGCACATCCCCGCACACGCATTACACACGTGAGTGAATGAATCGAACAGTAAACAAGCCCCTAACACCAGAGAACATGAGCAATGATGACAACGCAACATACTCGCAATTCGAAAGCACCAGATAGCTGAAACATCCAAGCAAGAAGGACAGCAGTGACTGCGATGACGTCAGCGTACTCTTGGGCATGCGATCCAGCGCCGTTGCCTCAAGGCCGTGTGTGATTGCATCAAGGCCTTCCTCCAATTCCTGCCAAATTGCACAAAGGCGCAACACGAGTTGACAGCGCACGCGTGGTGGCGTGTCATGGTTGTGAGCAACAACCTCAAGCCAAAGTAGCAGCAGCAGCAGCAGCAGCAGCAGCAGCGAGTACAGCAAGCGCACAAATACAAACACGGTGCGGTATTCAAGTGCCATCCCAATTGCATAGTCATCTGCGCATGACAACACCTTGACGACGGCGAGGAGCGAAGTGTCATCTTGCTGCAACTTTCGATACAGCATCGACATCTGTGTACATACGCGCACGGGCACACATGCACAGCGTTGATGGAGGGCATGTATCGAGTGAGGGATACTGGGAGTCAACATGTCATGTGCATCACATGGCAGGCATCCAATATGCACGTCGTTCTCGTTGCTGCCAACACCGCCACCACAAACAGCCGTCGTGGCCGCACGAGCCACAATCACGGCATGACTCCCAAACACATTCCCATCACCCACAATCCCATTCCCCTCACCCTCTTCCTCTCCCTCTCGCCTCCCCTCCAAGCCCTTTTTATTTTCTCGGCCCACCTCGCGTTTCCACATGGTTTCCGCCTGCTTGAGATTGCGCACAGCCCTTGTGCTATCGTCTTTGAGGCGCAGCGTAAACTTGAGCCCGAGCGAATTCCACGTCGACTGGTGCAACTGTAGTTGGTGATCATGGTGGTGGTTGTGGTGGTGGCGTGAAGTGTTGTGGTGGTGGTGTGACGTGAAGTGTTGTGGTGAGAAAGAAACCTCGAGCCCACCCCCCTTTCCAACCCCGTACCCTGTGCACAACAACAACAACAGCCACCACCCACCCACCCCCCTTTTTTTCCATCGCAATCAGCATGCGGATGATCAGTGAACGCACCCTGAGTTTCTGCAGCAGCGTCAGGTCTTTGCTGTCCGCCATCGTGGACGCCATGTCAAATGCAGCCTGCACACACACACACACATACACACACATACACACACACATGCATACGCACACACACACACATACACACACACATACCAAGATGAGCTGGGAGACAAGGATTGTGACGCTCACACAAGCGTCACTCAATACAATGCTTCCCTTTCCACCTTAGATTACCATACACCCCTTCATCATCACCCCTTCGTCATCACCTTGCACCAGGCATCCCGTTCCTCTGCAAGCTTGTCCGCTTTGCTCGCTAGCCGCACCCGCTGCAGCTCATACAGATCTAAACGGCCAAACGACACACACCATGGTGACGTGCACAAACCACATTCACGTGCGTGTGTGTGTGTGTGCGTGTGTAAGTGCGCGTGTGAGTAAGAGTGTGCGAGTGCGCGTTTGAGTAATGTGCTGTTTCACAAACACAAAGTAGCGCCAGATGTGAGACAGACGCACAAGCGCGCGCAACCATGTGCATACGGCCACGGCCGCACCTTTGAGTTCGTGTGCAACGTCTTGCGGCGTTTGGATGTAGTCCTCAGGATGATCGACCTGACACAATGGATGGTGGACACATAGACACGCACACGCGTGGAAACCAAGAGAACCACACCGTCAAGGTCATTGCATCCGGTCGTTCTCAAACACGCAGGAACCCAAACGTGCAAACGTACGCGCATGCACACACGCATGTACACGTACGTACGTGCGTACCAACACACACACACACATATACAGAGAGAGCGAGACACACACACACACACGCACCTGCGTTGCCTGGAAGTGTTTGCTGGCAATGTCTTTGACGACATCACGAGATACAGCCAATCCGGCAACAGCAGCGTTGACCTGATGCGCCACGATGATCATGGTGAGCGTCATGACGATGACAGTGATGGTGATGATGACGAAGATATATGATGAATGTGACCAGGAGGTGCTGCACGGGCACGTGTGTGAATACTTGGCTCCTAGACACACACACACAACACATACACACACATACAAGCACACACAACACACACACATACAAGCACACACAACACATACACACACATACAAGCACACACAACACACAAGCACCTTCTGTTGAAACGTTTGTAGGGTGGCACTGATGTGATCGTTGATTTTGCTGAGCGTCTCAATCTCTTGCTTCAGCATTTCAGTCTGGCCATGACGAACGGGAAGAGAACACCAATATCAAGCCGACACAGTTAAGCGCCATCAATCACAAGACAACAGGCAGCCAGCTCACATGCACATACAGAGCCACATTGCACTCAGACACAGAGACACAATACCTACAGCACACAGGAACGGAGACATACAGCACACACCATATCACATGCACACATCATGTCAAATCACATGCATACAACACATCACACACAGTTGGCATTACGTACGGCGAGCGGGAGACGTTTGAAGATTGCGCTGTAACGCTGCTGCACGCGTGTCAGGTAGTGTGCATTGGACGAATCCTTGGTCACAATCTGCACACAGGGTCAGCACAGCTACGTGAGCGCGTGCACACTGTATTTGGGCGATGGGTACGGGATTGTCCATCCACATGAAGAACAACACGCCATCACACACACAACACAAACACACACGCACACGCACACAACACAAACACACAAACACACGCGCACACAAACACACAAACACACACTCTCACATACAACACACACCTGCTTGACAATCTCACGAAGGCAGGCATCCAGGAGCTTTGCCTCCGTGTGTACGGACGTCAGCTCGTCATCCACGCTCTCGGACTTCTGCTCATGCCGCCCGCCGTCTTGCAGCAGCACATCTCGAAGCAAGTCTGTGCTGCCCATGAACTCGCGCGCAAACGGTGCTGTGCTTGAGCGGTACTGAAAGGAGGAGCCTCGTGCGGCATCAAATGCTGCTGCGTCGTCGCCCGCGCTGACAATGCTGGCAGCGTCGCCGGCGTCGCTGTCTGCGTCGCCGCTCTGCGACAAGTTGGCGCCGTCATCGTCGGCGCCGTTGTTGCTGCTGACGCTCGCTTCAGCATCAGCTCCGCTCCCGCGTATTCTCGACAGCTGTCGCTGTCGCTGCTGTAGGAGTTGTTGTTGCTGTGATTGCTTGGCCCAAGCAAGGCGCTGGTCCTGCGGCTGCTGTTGCTGCTGCTGCTGCTGCTGCTGTTGCCGCGATGGTGGAAACGGTCGTTGTGGTGATCCCGTCTGCTGTGGTTGCTGCTGGGACGGCTTTCTTGGCGGCTGTCGCCGACGTCTGGACATGACCAGCTCATCTGGCACCACATGGCTCCTGCTCCTCAGTGCTTCGCCAGTAGGCGGCCGCAGCGGAGGCAGCTCCGTCGGGTGCGACATGTCAAGCAGCCAACCCGCGCCAAACGATGCCAGCCAGCTGACAATGGAAGAGGATGCAAGGTGACAACGAACGCTTCGCTGTCCCTGGCTTTGCTTTCCTTTTGCTCTCGCCTTCTCTGTGTGTCCTCAAGATCCGTGCTGGCGACCACACATGCACACACGCACACACGCACGCACACGCACACACGCACACGCACACGCACGCGAAGAAGAAGTAACAGGCACCACAAGTGCGAAGCTGAGGTGTGCGGGTGTGTGGAAGGAGTGCGGCTGTTTGATGCTGCTGCGAATTCGTTGTTCTTGTTGCCAAGAATTCAGAAATATGGCCATATCTTTTAGGGGTTTTCCGTAACCACCGCTGCCAGGACGAGCAAGCAAGCAAGACAAGCAAGGCAAACAAGACAAGACCAGGAAACGGCAGCCATGAAGACGGAGCTGTTGTCGCTGGTGCACGAGGTGAGATGATGCGTGTGGCGGGACGCTGTGTGTTGGTGGTGGTGGTGGTGGTGGTGGTGGTGGTGGGTGAGTGTGGGTGTATGTGCAGCAAAATCAATTCACCACAGCCTCAAGTCCCTTCCTCACATTCCAGCCACTCAACAACAACAACAACAACAACAACAACAACAACAACAACAACAACAACAACAACAACAACAACAACAACAACAACAACAACAACATCATCATCATCATCATCATCATCATCATCATCATCATGAAACAACAACGCACTGACACATGTGTGTGGTGGGTAGTATTTGGCTGCCTATGGATACACGGAAGCGGCAAGTACGCTGCAAGCGGAGGCCAACGCCAAAGGAGAGGACTTCAAACCACTGCCGCATGACGGCTCCACCAAGGAAAACCTCGTGGTCATCAAGACACTGGAAGCGTTTGATCGAGGATCACTGCCCGAGTTCAAGCAGCAGTGGAATGCCGCTTTGCCAGAGGTGTGGTGCGAGAGGCATGTGATATGTGTAATATGTGTGATGCGTGTGCATTGGGTGGTGTGTACAATCTGTGTACAATGCATGTGCTTTGGCAGCGTCTAAGGGATACCCTCACTGCTTTGACGCTGCTTGCTGCAAACGCAACCTTCTTTTTCAACACTGCAATGCAGCTCATGCGCACGTCGGACTCGACATGTGTGAAGCTGGAGTTTTATGCACACGTCTACTTTGCCATCGTTGGCATCCATCCGCACGCCACGTTCCGACCAGAGGTACCTTTGTGTGTGTGCGTGTGTGCGTGTGTGTGTGTGTGTGTGGTGGCGGCCTCGCTTTTGCTGCGCGGGCTCGTCTGTTACTATCATCATTTCATCGCCATTGCCGTCGTCAACATCATTGCCGACAGACGTTGTTCAACTCACATGTTTTTGGGTGTGTGTGTCTGCTGTGCAACGCAGAGCTACAACCAGCAGATGGCCATGGCCCAGCTTCGGCAGTACATTGAAGACAAAGGCGCCATCTTGAGGTTGTGTGCATGTGACGTGTGTGCCATGTGTGTGAGTGTGTGCTTGAGTGAACATGCATCTGCTACCCTCACGTCAACGCGTCAACCAGCAATTATAATCGGGCAATACCCCTTCCCCCTTCACACCTCCAATCTGTGTATGCGCCCTGCCAACCACACCAGCAATGAGCCAGAGTTGCTGCCGTATTTTGCAATGCCCTACATCCCCGAGCCACAGCACCACGCCACTTTCGCCACCCTCTTCACAGTACGTGCACATATGCGTGCAAATGTGCTTGTGTGTGTATGTGTGTGTGCGTGTGTGTGTGTGGTCTTCAGCCGCTTTTCCTCCACATCTTGCATGCACCGCCGTTGCCCGTGGTCCTGACGTCAACCCACCCCCTCCCTCACACACACACACACACACACACACACACACACACACACACACACACACACACACACACACACACACACACACACACACACACACACACGTCAATGGCCACCGTCACTGCCATCATCATCGCCAGGACACGTGGATTCCCGAGATCCGTGCACGCATTGAGAAGTATCTTCTTGCCAACGCCGGCACACCCGCGTCCCGCCTCTCTGATATTGTCCACGAGTGGGAGGTGCAGACGCAGAAGGGCAAGGCCGCACACGCTGTCGAGGTGCGTGTTTTGATTGTACAAGTGATATGTGCGTGTGTGTGTGTGTACGCGCCTCTGTGTGTGCCCACGCCTTTCCTCGGATTCAAACCCCCAATCATGTGCTCGTGCGTTCATGCGTGTGTGTGCGTGTGTGTGTCCAGGGGATGGTGAAACAGCTGGAGGAAGTGACAGAGGAGAAGAACGAGCTGTGGATCAGGTCAGGCATGCGAGGCAGTCCGCACAGTGTTGCTGCTGTTATTGTCCTTCTTCTTCTTCTTCTTCTTCGTCTTCGTCTCGCCGCCCTTGTCCTTGCCGTCCTTGTTCTTCTTGTTCCTCTTTGTTTGTGTCGTGCTGCTGCCATTTCACCATCGTGCTCACACCAGCAGCCCACCTGCTTTTCCCTCTCCCGGATTTGTTTTGGTTTTGCATCGCCTCAGGCATCAGCAGCTGCAACGCGAATATTACAATCTCCTCGGCGTCACGGACGGTACAACACCGACATGCACGCGCACATGCGTGCGAAACAACAACACGGTGCACACAAAGACACAACACACAACGCACACCCACACCTACACACCCACGCGTCGTGTATTGCCCATTCCCTCACACTGCTCGCCACCCATCACCACCATTACCTACCATCGCGGCGAGCAGAGCTGGTTGAGGCTGTGGTTGCCGGTATTCGTGGATCTCCCGTGTCGCAATCGCAACTGGACGACATCTGTCGCCGCCTGAATCTGTTCACAACAGAGACGGAGGAGGACCACGACAGTGGCGAAGAGGAGCCACAGGACCACTCGGAGGACCACGCCCGTCCGCATGGGTCCAGTCACGGCCACAAGGGGGCACACAAGGCCACCACACAGGTTTGCAACAAGCAGGCGCTTCGTGTGTGTATGTGTGCGTTTGCGTATGTGTAGTGCTTGCGGATGTGTGTGTTTGCGTATGTGTAGGGAGTGTGTGTTTGCGTATGTGCAGGATGTGTGTGTGTTTGCGTATGTGTAGGGAGTGTGTGTGTGTGTGTGTGTGTTGTGTGTGTTTGCACGCTGCGAAAGTGGTCGCTGACCTCCGTGACACAACCATCGCCACCGTCACCGTGCACTGCAGGATGTGGTGCCATCGATTGTGATGGAGGGACCGCTCCCACCGCTCGACATCAAGACGTTCACAGCCGCAATCACAGACGCAGACGAGAGGTGGGGGTACAGATGTGGGGGGGGGGGGTGAAACTGTGAGCAGGAGGACATGCGTGTGTGTTGGGGGGGGGCTGGATGGACCGTAATGGGAAAGTACGGCGGACTCTTATCGTGCACTCGTGTGCGTTTGGGTACTTCTTTCACAAAATGCACGCAAACACAAACACACACACACATACATAAATTAACGTCGCTTCGCACTCACTCACATACGCACCACTATCCCCATCTTCAATCCCTCCCTACAATGCGCAGGTCTGCGTCGCTGCTGCTGCAGGCGCTACGATGGCGCGTGACGCGGGCACGACCCGGTCCTGTCCGCACGGCCGCCGTGGCGCAGCTCATCGCCGACGATGTGCTCGCCCTCGCCGACCCCGACAGCAGCACGGTGCGATGGCCATACCAGGGTGGCGTGGTGGGGCGTATCTTTGTTTGTTTGTTCGTTGGTTTGCTTATTTGTTTGTTTGTTTGCTCGTTCGTTTGTTCGTTTGTTTGTTCGCTGGTTTGTGTGTTTGTTTGTTTGTTTGTTTGTTTGTTCGTTGGTTTTTTTTTTATTTGTTTGTTTGTTTTGTTTGTTTGTGCGTGTGTGTTGCGTGCTTGGTGTGGTTTATTGATTTGCCGGGTGCTGGTGTACGCTGAGCTGACTTTTTGCTTCTTGATACCGCAACCTTACAGATCCTGTCGCTCATTTCCTCCAAGGACGAAACACTCAAACTCAGCGCTGCCAGGTGACCATGGTGATGATGATGATGGCCATGATGAGTTGCACTCGTGTCACGTATGCTCCCCTTTGCACCTCAGCTCCGTTCATCTCCTCTGTCTTACTCATTTGTCACTCATCACGCCCTCACCGCCTTCTGAAATGCACGCACATGCAAACATACAACACCCTCTCACCAAACCATGTGCGCTTGTGTGCGCGCGCGTGTGTGCACAGGCTGCTGAACTGCCTCGGATCGCTGTCCGCAGCGCGTCGATATCTCCTCACGAGCGACTCGCTCATCCGTCGCCTTTTCCAACAGATTCAGCGCGAGCAGGACGACACACCGGCCCGCCGCCACCTCCTCGGCGCACTGCAGAAGCTGAGCCTCAAGCGCCGCGCACAGATTGACATGATCAGCATCGGTCGGTCTGGCTTGCTTGGTGGTTTGTGTGGCTTGCGTTGTATTTGGTCGTGTTCGTTCATGTGATTCCCGTTTTCATTCTGTTCGTGTTGTTCGTGCTTTCGTGTTGTTTGCTTGGTTATGTGTGCTGTTTATTTGTTTGGCGCATGCTTTTGTCTTCGTTTGTCTCCCTGTCCCACTCTGCGCCTGTACCGTAAACATCACTGTGCAGCATTGTGCGCAGACCACCACTCAACAACAACAACAATAACAACAACAACAACAACAACAACAACAACAACAACAACACCACCACCACCACCACCACCACCACCACCACCACCACCACCACCACCACCTTCATCGTGTGCTATGACCAGGCGTCATTGACTGGCTCGTTGACCTTCTCCGTCACCCCGACGACGCCAGCTACTACAGCGTTGAGGTGCGTTTGGAAATGTGACTGTGGTGTGGTGATTTGTTTGTGGAACCAGACTAGCGCGTGTGTGAGCGCATACATCACGCGGCTACGCACACACACACACACACACACACACACACACACACACATCTCTCTCCCCCTGCCTCCTTTGCGCTTACAAAACCGCACGCTTACACACCAAACAACCCTCCCCAAACACACACACACACACACATACACACACATACACACACACTGGCAGTATGCGGTTGCGCTGCTGATGAATCTGTGCTTGCGGGGCCGTGGAAAGACATATTGCCAAGAGCGTGCGCGCGACGTTCTCGGTGCGTTGGTGGCCTACTGCGTGGTGTAATGGTTGTGATCCTCGTCCCATCTGGGCAACAGACCGCTTCGTACGTATACACGCACGCATGACACACACGCACACACACACACACACGCACGCACACACACACGCACACACACACGCATGACACGCACATAGCCCAAAGCAAACACGCGCACACAACATTCACGCACACACAACACACCCGCATTGCACATGTGGAGTGCCACACGCCAGCAGTGCTCACAATTCCACCTGCACTGCGACAGGCATGCTACTTGACCTGCTTGGTTACGAAGCGGCGCAGGTGCGCACGTATGTGCACGCGTGCCTGTACTCGCTGTTTTCGCGCCAGGCCATTCGCCAGGAAGCCGACATGCTTGGCGCAGAGTCCGCACTCAGGGTGAGCACCCCGTTGTGTCTTAAGCAAAGGGGGTATATGTGTGAATGTGTGTGTGTGTGTGCGTGTGTGCGTGTGTGCGTGTGTGTGCGTGTGTGTGCGCGTGCGTGTGTGTGCGTGTGTGTGTGCGTGTGTGTGTGTGCGTGTGTGTGCGCGTGCGTGGGTGTGCGATGATGCATGTTTGTGGGGGGAGGCGTGTAGACTCTCTAGTGCGCGTGCGCAACTGCGTCGCTTTTATCTCGTGGATGCGACAGTCTCAACGCCCTCTCCCGATACACACGTTGCGTGGTCTAGGCCCAGATGCGAGTGAGCAACGCTGTGATGGCGAAGCAGCTGGCACACGTTCTCGACCAACTTGCCCGCACCGACGGTATGATCGGTTCCATGCATGCGGTGCTGCGCTGTGTAAGGGTTTACGATACTGTGTCGTGTCGGGTGTGACTGGTGCCATTGTTGATTCGCTCACTCGGCCCGTGCATTAACACACATGCATACACACACACACTCTCTCTCTCTCTCTCGCACGTGCACACTCATGCACACGCACGTGCATCCACACACGCGCACATGCACACCCACGCAATCGCAGATGACTCTGACGCAGCGAGCGATGACGAGAATGATGATGAAGACGAGGACGAAGAAGAGGCGGAAGAGGATTCCGATGACATGACGTCACACAACCTGATGGCTGCAGACTACGAAGACCCGGAACCAATCACCGCTCCAAAGGATCAGAGCGGCGAACACGTGTGTTGCTCGTTGTTTGCTGTTGTTGTTGGTGCAGTTTGTTTGCCTATACGTTGCTCGCTTGCCACTGCAATCCATCACGCTCACAGCGAATTCTTCTCATCTTCTCCCTCATATACGCACACACGCACACTGAAACACACATGCACACGTGCGCATTCTCACACCCTCGCCCACACACGTGCCTGTTCGCATTTGCGCGTTGCACTGATAGCTGCTGGCGTCATTCTACGTTGGCGGCAGTGCCCAACACCAGCAACAACAAAAGCAGCAACAGCAGCAGCAACCACGAGAGCAGCAGTCCACAACCCCGACGACAACAGCACGAGCTGCATCACCGTCCGTGCACGTCGACAGGCCTGCCGCTGCCCCAACGATCGCCACCACAGCCAGCGCTCGCCCACATACAGGCAAAGCCAGGGGCACCGCCCCCGATACCGCCATGGCCACGGACGCCACGACGAGCAGTCGCCCTGCCACGACAGGACCGCGCCCAACATCGAGCAACAGGGGCGCGTCGGCCATGGATGACCTGCGCAAATCAACGGCAAAGCTCAGCCAGACCCTCGGTGAGGAGCTTTGATGTCATGCCATGCTCCGTGTATGTGTGTGTGTCTTGTGTCTGTGTGTGCATGTGTGGCGTGTGTTCGTTGTATCTGTCTGTGCGCATGTGTGCTTGTGTGTCGTGTGTCTGTATCTGTCTGTGCGCATGTGTACGTGTGTGGCGTGTGTCTGTTTCTGTCTGTGTGTGCATTTCGTATGTTTCTTTGTGCCTGTCTGTGGCATCTTCCCTGGCTGTCCCGAGCCTCCTGTATCTGTGTTTGTCTTTGCTGATTGCCTTTCTTTCTGTTCACTCAGTGTTCCGCCCTCTCCCGCCTGCCCTGCTCACCCGCCTTGCTTGCATGCTGCAACGAACATCATTTCCCTCCCCCTCCTCCTTGCATCAGACAACATGCGAGCAAGCAGCCGCCCGGCAACCGGGCGCACGCGTCTGCGCAACACCAACGAGCCAATCCAGGAAGAGGCAAGTGGTGGTGACGCCGACAACGATGGTGATGGCGGACAGACCACTGCGAGGACAGGGCCCGTGCCGTCCAAGAGCAAGACGGCGAGTAGTGGTGGTGACGATGATGATGATGGAGAGGGTGGTGATGGCGATGAGACGCCCGAGCCCGAACCTGTGCCGATTGATGAAGAGGCGTCGAATTTGCTTGCAAGCAAAGTTGGGAAGCCACTGGCACGAGCGGACGACAAGCCAGCGCCCCCACGCGCACAGGGTGAAGGTACGCTTGTGCTTGCGTGCTGCTGTGTATGTGTGTGTGTGTGTGTGCGTGCGTGCCTGTGCCTGTGCCTGTGCGTGTGCCTGTGTGGCTGTGTGTGCTCATCTGTGCAGGTGTCGCGTGCCAGTGTTGTCACTCACGGCACTTCTCGTTCGCGTTTACCGATGCACATGCAGACTCCAACATAGACGAGTACTACGCTGTGTTTGCGACACGGTCAAAGGTGCCGAGAACGCCCTAATCGAATGCGCTGCGTATGGACAACTGTGTGCATTTTGAGGCGCTTTTGAACACGCTTCTTCATCAACTACCCGTGTCAGTTTGTGTCAATCACATCATTTTCATGCCACACAAAATTATTGAACAACACAGCAAACGTTGACACGAACTGACGTGAGTTTGAGAGTTTTAAAATGCGCGAGCCAGGTCGCACGGCGGCCTTGCATTTCATGACACCGTGCAGAATGACATTGTTGCGTTATGAGTTCTTGCGTGCTGATTCCGAGAAACCAATGGCTGTTTAAATGCATTGCATAAGCACACGCATTTGCATATCAAATGTAGACCACTCACTTCACCCGTACTAGCCAGTGAAGCATGCGCTGCCAGCTTTGTGAATTGATTCCACTGGGTCAAGTCCTTCAGTTCCCTTCTGAGGGACTTCAAGGAGGTGGCGTGTGCGCTGTAAGTATTGCAAGCCTTGCAAGGATTGCAGGGTTGTTTCCTGGAATCAGCGACCGCACAGCAGAGCAGAAGTGTACAGCCCGCCACTCATGGACTTTGTGCGCCTGTAAGTCACGTGGGCGCTGCCCAGCGTGAGGGCTCGTGGCCATCTTCCCACCATTGTGGACTTGCAGGTTCATTTCTTCGACCAACGTGAACACCACCGCGTCTCGAGGTACACAAGCGATCGTCAAGCAGGCCATATCAACCTCACAACACGTCACTCCTTCGCAAGACCCCCAAGACCCCAAGAACTCGCGCTATCAAGGCACCGCAGCAGCCCAAAGATGTCAGCAATCCAGCCACAGACAACAGCCCAAAGCGTCGCTCCGAGTTTGGGGAGCGGAGCAAGCGACTTCTGGCCAGTATGGCTGCAGACAGCCCAAGACTCGCCCTGCAGCATCTTCGATCTCGCCAGCGAGCACCAGAAGCCTTGGCGATCCATCAACGCAGTCACCGCAGTGACAGGGGCTGCCGCAAGAACAGCCCGTCGGGCTCGCCGCAACTCGCTCAACAACGCGAGCAACAGCGTTGCCGACAACACCTGCTCATGGCCCGGGCACCCCGCCGCGACACGCGCTGACGACACAAAGAGCGCCGAGGCCGAGCAGGACGATCTGTGCGACGAAGACATCTTTCGCGCCGTGTACGGGCATGTGTTTCAGCTGCAATTCGCCAACCGCACACGCAGCGTGCCGGACCTCTTCCTCGCTTCCCAGGCAGCAAGCGAGGAGCACACAACGGAGACAGGCCGCGCCAGCAACGTCCAGCATCAGATGGATCTTCATGCGGACACAGCGTGGACATCAACAATGACGATGAGAGGCGCTCGGCGCCAGCGTCCCACAGCAGCAGTACCACCACCGCCATCATCGCCGATGCGCTCTGGCAAGTGGAGGCAACGCGCATCATTCGTGTGGCAGATGCTGTGCAGGCCGGTACAGTTGTTGCGGCTGCAGCCGCGCAACCGCGCCACGCAGGGGAGCGTGCCACGTCGCAAGAGCGCCCCGTGCCTGAGCCATGCTCTGGCGGCACCGTCGCTTCTGTCACCAGCAGCACCAACGACAGCCGTGACAGCACAGATGTCCGCGCCAGGGTACTACTCGCAGGCGGAGATGGACTTGGCGCAGCGCCGCCGTGGCCAGCATTCCTGGGGCACAGACGTGCAGTACGCGTGTGTCCAGGATGACGAAGACGAGGATGGGAACAGCGTGTCGGACTTTGGGTACGGCGCTACTGCCGAGTACACGGAGGTGGACGCCACCTTCTCCGTCGCACTCTCACCCTCGTCCCCATCACCACCGGTCATCTGGCAGGGTGGTGACGAAGAGAGCGTGCTTGACTTTATGTCGATGTAGGTGTAATGACGTGCAAATGTATGTGTGTGTGTGTGTGAGTGTGTGTGTATGTGTGTGTATGTGTGTGTATGAGAGAGAGAGAGAGAGTATGTGTGTGTGTGAGCAATGTTGAAGTGTTACATCTCTCCCCCCTCCCTGCAGCAGCCAAGCGAAGAACTGAAAGACAGCCTGCCAGTCAGTTGCGCTCTGCATCTGCTCCTCCTCCTTGTTCCGGGTTGATTTCTTGCTTCCATGCTTCCATACTTCCATCTCAAGACCCCTCCTTGTTTTCGTTGCCTTGGCGCAAGTCGCTTTCAACGCCCCCAGTACACGAAGAGGAAGACACAGAGTTCAAGCAGAGGGTTGAAGGGTGTGGGGCGTGCAGCTAACAAATCACACATTCACACACAAAAAAGCAACAGTCACACAGAAAGCAACAGCGCTGCTGGCTGACGATGCTGTCAAGACGACAGGGCGACAAGGGCGGCGCAGTGCTGGTGGCTCGCCACCGCCGTGCACATCATGGTGGACGTGAGTGCTGCCCCTGTGTTGCCCCTGCGTTGCTTGGCAAGCACGCCAACGAGTAGCCGACGTTGATTGATGATGCATCCTGTTGCCCTGTTCCCTTCTCCTCATACCCACTCAATCGCGTCGCATGGTGCCGCATGTAACGATCAACACCACTCTCCCACTGCCAGGGCGCGGTGGGCTGGTGAGCATGGAGCAGTACCTGCGCGATGACATCCCATGCTGCAGCCCAGCTTGCAGCAGTGACACGTGTGCAGAGGCTCTGGCCCTCGCACCAAACGCTGTGCTGCTCCCTGAGAACGCCACGCACTACATGGTCCCCGACGACGAGGTGAGCCTGCCGTCAGTGCCAGCTGCTTTACCTTTTTTCGTTTGCGCGCACTTGCGTGCTCACACGCACAGACACGCGCACACAGGCACACAGTGCCTGTCTCTCCCCAAACATACGCACACACACACACGCACACAGTGCCTGTCTCTCCCCAAACATACGCACACACACACACACACGCACACACACACACACACACACACACACACACACTCTCTCTCTCTCTCTCTCTCTCTCTCTCTCTCTTGCCTGCGCAGGTGGCGCGGAGGTTTCCTGCACTGCTGCAACATCCGGATCTTACGGGCGTCATCTTGATGCAGGTGAGGGTCAGGGTAAGCACGAAGTGGTGAAGGTGCCCTTGATGTTCGTCCCAACACCACCATTCCACGTGAACCAAACGACTCACGACCCTGCATACCACTGACCCCATACCTCGTCTTTGCTCTTCAGACATGCCTGAGGATGGTGAAATCGGCGTGCTCTCGCAGACAGCACACACAGCTCGCCAAGCACTTCCGAGACAAACGCAGTCAATCCATCATCTTTCGCAACGAGGTATGCTCCCCCTGTACTTGACTCGATCGGCGTAAGTGTTACCCAACACACACACACACGCACGCACACGCACCAGCTGACTGTTGTGGTTCTTCTCTGGATGCAGAACCACGCAGCAACGTGGCGGGAGAGACACGCAAACGAATCAGCACACGCGCACGCCTTGCGGCTGGCAAGGGCGACAGCATCGTGGTACACCACCCACCTCAACAATAAGGTGCTGTATTGTGCTGGCGTGACCTGTCCATAGGAGTGCCTTTCCTCGATCCCGCTTGCTTTCCTCCTCACACACGTATTCTCTGACTGTGTGCCTCCGTCACACGCACACACGCACACACACACACGCGCACACGCGCACACACACGCACGCACTCACAAACGCACGCCATACTCTTGCCTCACCTTCCTCCACCTCTGCTGGTCTCCTCCACAGGTGCGTGTGGTCATCGTGACGTACACACACGGCACAGCAGCACAAGGACAAGAAGATGTGCGTGTTGGTGGCACTAGCGACGACCATGATGGCCGTGTGCATGTGCTTGATCTTCGTGCATACATCGAGCAATTCCACAGCAACAGCCCAACGCTACTTGACGACTTTGCAGCAATGGAGGCTGAGTTGTCTGTCGACGATGACAGTTGTGACGGCCAACGCACACCGCAGATTGGTGCTGGTGTCGGTGGTGGCGCACGTGCGAATGAGCTGGGGTTCACAGAGTATCTCAGCACCAGCGCCATTATTGCCGGCATTAACACTGGCGAGTTTGTCCGCGGCCGCATCCACGTCTTCAAGTGCGTGCAGATGTGTGTGTGTGCGTGTGTGTGCGTGTGTGTGTGTGCGTGTGTGTGCGTGTGTGTGTGGAGGCTGCTGATCTGTGTGGTTTGGTGGTGTTGTCGGTGATGTTGTTACTTCAGCGACATGTGTGCAAACTGAGCAGCACATGTGAGTCTTCACCTGCTCACGTCCGGCTTGTGTACCCGTCACTCGCCGCCTCCACACACACACACACACACACACACACACACACACACACACACACACACACACACACACACACACACACACACACACACACACACAAAATGCATTACGTCAGGTCCTCGTTGTTCCGTTTGACTCGCGTCTTCCGTTTATTCGCGTGGCGACAACATCCCCGGCGGCACTTGAGGTGATGCAATAACGGCATACATGGCGATGACGCAACTTTGTTGTTTCTGACAATGACGGCAAACAACATGTGACTCACATCACATCACATCACATCACACTTCACGCACGCACGTCCACTCCTAATCGATCAAACCACCGGCTCCCGTTCATCATGCGTGTGCGCGTGCGTGTTGGGTTATCAGAACAAGCGTCTTGTCGTGCGCATTGACTCGTGGCCGGTTGCGTCTCGCTTCCCAAATGGACACATCACGGAGATTTTGGGAAACGCAGGTCGGCCCGTGCTGTTGTGACTGTTTGTGTGGCGATACCTGTGGTGTGGTGGCTGTGGCAGCAGTGCTTACACATGTGCGCACACTTTCGCGCGCGCGTGCGAGTGTGTGCATGCGTGTGCGCATCATTCTGAGGTGAGTGATGGTTCACAGTCATTTGAGGGGTGGGGCTTTGTGCTTTCTACAGGCGACGTCGCTACAGAGACGAAGTGTCTGCTGATTGAGAACACAATTTCCGTCCCGCCCTTCTCCACGGCACAGGTGCATCATGCGGCAATATGCTTTGTCGCACACACACACACACGCACACACACACAGGCAACGCACACACACACACACACAATACGCACACACACACACACACAGACAGGCAACGCACATACACGCGTATGCAGACACACACGCACACACTCACAACCACACTGCAACCACCACACGTGCCCACCACTCACTCCACTATTGCAGCTGCGTGAGATGCCTGTGAACACGCGTGAACGTCCGTGGAGGATGGCCGATGACGAAATCAGGCGCCGTCGTGACATTCGCCACTCCCATCTCGTGTTCAGGTGGCGCCTCCTGCCTGATACGTGTTGTGTGTGTGTGTGTGTATGTGTGGCGCGTGTTGTGCGTGCGTGTGTGCGTGTGTGCGTGAGTGCGTGAGAGAGAGAGAGTATGTGTGTGTGCATGTGTGTGCATGTGTGTGGGGGTGATGTGTGGTGTGAATGTGTGAAACGTTGCTGCCTGTCTGTCGTCGTGCTTTGGTGCGCACCACCATCGCCTTTCTTGTGATTGTTTCCCCCCTTTAAAAACCAAGAGCGCTTCAAGCCACCAGCCTGCTGCCGGCACCCCTTTCCACTCACACCCGCGCCAACCTGCCCACTGCCCCTTTGTCACGACCGCAGCATCGATCCCCTCGGATGCGAGGATGTGGACGATGCACTTGGCGTGCGTCGTCTCGACAACGGAAACATTGAGCTCTCCGTCCACATTGCAGACGTGTCGTACTTTGTGACCCCAAACACATTCACAGATGCAGAGGCTCGTGCACGTGGCACCACAGGTGACAGCTTGCGTGAACATGTGTGCGTGTGTGAGTGCGTGAGCATGCGTGGTGTCAGTGTAATTGCATTGCATTCACTCGCGACATGCACCACCACCTCACCACCACCACCACCATCACCTGCCTGTCGTGCAGTTTATCTTGTGAATGGTCGCCACGACATGTTGCCGGTCGTCCTCAGCGCTGACCTCTGCTCGCTCCTCGCCGACCAGGACAGGTACACTGGGCGTTGTCGTTTTGCTCTCTCTCTCTCTCTGTGTTGATGTGTTGACGTGTGTGAAGTGTTGTGTGCATGCTTGTGACTGTGTAGTGCGTTTGTGTTTGCATCTCTGTGCAAACATGGGCATGCGCTTGCGTTTTTCGTTTCGCAACTGCGGCCTTGCTTGAATTCAAGCTCACCCACGCACCCACGCACACATGCACGTGTCTTGTTCACCCCTGCACGCACGTGTGTCTTGTTCATCTCTGTCGCTTCATCCGTGTGCCATCTACCGGTGCCAGGTATGCCATGTCTGTGTTCTGGGAGCTCGACAGCGAGCGCAACGTCGTGTCGACGTGGTTTGGCCGCACCGTCATCCGCTCCTCGTATCAGGTGATGACGCAGACGTACGGGGCGGAGGGAGGCCGTTGTGTGTCGTGTTGTTGCTCAGGGTTGTGTTGCGTGGGTGGCTGGGGAAAGGGGATGCTTGGGTGATGGTGTGGGCAGGTTCTTGCGCAATCACAATCTCAATCACAATCACAACCCAAATCACAACCCAAATCACACAATCACAACCCAAAATCACAACCACAACCACAGTCACAACCCAAATCACAGCCACAACCACAATCACAACCCAAACTACAATTACACAGACACACAACACACGCGCACACACGCGTTCCAGCATCTTTCACGAGCAAAATTGTGAACATGTTCTCACGCGCCGCTGTGCACAACCGTTGTGCGGTGTTGCCTCAATCTACTGTTTGCTGTCACTGTTGACAGCTGCATTATGAACTGGCACAGGCGATCTTTGATGGACTTCCGGACCAAAACGCCATTGAGCAGTTGCCAAAGCTGGCAAAAATGTCGTCACATGACGCCACAAAGCGGTGAGCGATACACGCAACACTCTATGGTCGTGCCCTGGCTTGCTGCTGTTGTTCGTTCACGTGAGGTTTATTGTGTGCAAACCAAACCCTCACCTGTCACACACACACGCACACACACACACACACACACACACACACACACACACACACACACACATCAGGCTTGCGCGGCTTCGCGACGCCATCTCGCTGCTGATCACGACTGCGCGGGCGTTGAAGGCGAAGAGAGCTGACGCGGGCGGACTTGAGCTGGAGAGCGATGAGGTGCGATTCAAGGTGTCCACATCGGACCCGGCCGCCGTCCAGTTCCACAGACACAAAAACACACACACACACACACACACGCACACATACACGCACACACACACACACAAAGACACGCTCGCACGCCCAGATTGTTGAAGTTGCACGCGTTCGCCACTGAAGATACCTTCTACTGCTTCCCGCGTCTCCATCAACCCTTCCTCACACAACACACACACAACACACACACACACACAACACACACACACACACACACACACACACACACACACACACACACACACACACAGACACACATACACACACATCAACACACAAAGACACGCTCGCACGCCCATGTGCCACCACTGTTCATGGCGTACCGTGAGCAGCTGCTTGTTGTGCGTCATGTTGAGTGTGTGGGCGTGTGGGCGTGCGTGCGTGGGGTTGAGGTTGGTTGTTTGCTGTGTTGTCCTCCTCCAAACAGCAAGCTGGATGAAGTTTTGGCGATTTGCAATGATACCCGTGAATAGCCAAGCCATGGATGAATGACGAATATCATTAGCCAACAATCCGCAAGGCACAGCTCCTCTCCGCTGCTGTGCTGTGTGTTTGTGTGTCTTTTGTTTTTTGCGTTGGCGACGGCGGGACTGACAAGAAGGGCGCGCGAATAAACGCCACAACCACAAACCACTGCTCTGCTGCTGTGCAAGCTCGTACTCGCGAACACTGTCTGGCATCCGCTATCACGCCTGCTGATACCCCTTCCACTTCAAGACAAGAGAAGGCAACGAAAGGAAGGCAGAAGAAGGTGAGCGTTGTTGCTGTTGCGACTGTCCTTCTTCTCGTCCACATTCCACAACACACACACACACACACACACACACACACAACAGCACACACAACACAAAGACGACAGTGTTTCAATCGTGGTCATACGGACCAGCAGACCCAACCCTCTCAAACGCTGCACACATTCCACCGCACAGACCCACACCTACACATGAGCACACACGAGCACACGCACACACATACACACACACACACACGATTCCCAAAGCACAGTGTGCATGCATGCATCGTTTCATCCCCCTCTTCGTTGCCTGTCTGCGCGCACACACACACACGCACACACATGCACATACACGGTGCACTGCCAATCATGCCGCAAGTCAGCAGCTTGCTCGCTTCCTCCTCCTCCTCACTTGTTGCGAGAAACTCACCACCTGCCTGCTCCAACCAAACCGCGCACACACAATTCCTTCTCCATTTCCCCGCCCCCACCACACCGTGCACACAATATCCATCCCACTCCTGGTTGGGTGCTACCAACACACCTCCCTCAACCGCGCCTTGATCCATCGATCCACCGATCCATTTGGTTGGTCGGTTTGCTGTGGTGGGTTGGTTGGTGTGCGGCATTGCTCCCTCTGTGTGCTTCACAACCAACCACCCTTATCGCTCCCTCACTTGCTTTCTGCACACCTTGCGTCGTGGCGTGCCACGTCGCCTGCCTGCCGTCCATTTCTCTCCTCCCTGTCCATCTCTCCCCTCCTTTGCGTGCCTCTGTGTGCCTCTGTGTGCTTCTGGCTTTGTGCTGTTGCTCGTGCGCCACGCAATTGTCTCCTCGACCACCACCATCACCACCACCACCACCACCACCACCGTCAATACCGCCATCACCTCCTCGTGATTCTCACTTTCGCCGCTCACTTTCCATCATCGCCTCTTACTTCTCACAACCGTCATCGTCTCCTCGGCTTCCTTCCTCTCCACAACCAACCCGGCTGTCGTGGGACCATGTTTGCGCCACCCCAGCAGGCCCGTCCAAACCGGAGCGTCCGCAGCAACACCACACGCGCACACACTGCCGTGAGCACTGCCAGCAACGTCACAGCCAACTCCATCACCATGCCGTTTGAGGTTGCCGTCTCCGATGTCCACAGCTTTCCTGGCATTGGCTGGGACACACGTCCTCGCTACTCCTCCCGCACCCTCGTGGTGAGTGCGTGTTGAGTGTGTGAGTGCATGTGTTTGTGTGTTTGTGTGTTTGAGCGTGTTTGTGTGTGTGAGTGTGAGTGTATGTGTATGTGGGGTATGTGCGTATGCGGTGTGTGCGTGCGTGTGTGTGTGTGTGTGCGCGTGCTTTGCGTGGTCGTTTGCCGTCCGCTTTCTGACCTGTCTGGCGCCACTCCTGTCTGGCTTCACCGATGCTCATCAGGGCCATTGGGATGAGGAGCGCAACAACTCGAGCATCATTGGCGGCCTTCCCGATCGCACAGGTGCGCGCATGGTGGATGAGACAAAGGACAAAGGGTTGCGGCTGCTGGTGTCGGTGGTGCTCGCAGTCACTGTTGCGTTGTGTCGCCTTGATGTGGATTCCCTCGTGCCGACGCGACCAACGCCTGAAACACCCTGAACCGCAACCGCTCACCTCCTCCAACACACATACATACACACACACACACACACACACACACACACACACACACACATTCGCATGCAGGGGAGACGTGGGCCAGCACGACGCAGTTGTCGTACTCGCAGCCGCTGTCCTCGGCATCGCTGCGCTCCACAGCATCGGCGTCCCGTGCTGAGAACAGAACCATGTCCCTCACAAACCGCCACAAGCTCGAGAGCGTGCACAGCACCATCACCCTCAACCGCTCCGCGCCGCCGTCTGTCTTCCGTCCAAACGCCAGCGCACCGGCCACCCTTGGGCGCGCAAGCAAGGTGCGCACACGTGTGTGTGCTTATGCTTGTGCTTGTGCTTGTGCTTGTGCTCGTGTCGTGAACGCGTGCATGCATTTGTCTGTTGTGGAGTAGATGTGCGCGCGTGTGTGTGTCTTATTTTGCACGCGTTTGTTTGTTTCTATCGCGCGCATGTACGTCAACCATATCCTGCCATCCTGCCATCCTGCCATCCTGCCATCCTGCCATCCGTAACCCCCGCCACTGCCCGTTATCACGACGTGTGTTCTGCTGCCACTCCTCAGATCCCATCGTTGACGGGCTCGCGCGTGTACAACCGCTTCACGGGCCGCTGGGAGCCCGAGCCCATCGACGTGGCGCCAGCACGTGAGTTGCTCATGCTGTGTATCGCATGACATGTGGGCTCTATTTGCACTGTTGCGTGTGTGTGTGCATGTGCATGTGTGTGTGTGTGTGGCGAGTGTACTGTGTTTGCTCATTTATCTTGCAACCTCACTCACAACCAAATCATACACACACACGCACACACACACGCACACAAACACCCTTACGCGCGCGTATAGCGGTGAAGACGACGCGGCTGCGCGATTCGCTGCGCAAGAAGTGGGCGGCAGAGACGGCGGCAGAGCGCGCATCGGCATACACCTCAACCACGCGCGAGGCATACAAGCTCCCGCCCATCCAGCCTTCAACCTCATCGGTATGTTTGATGCATCTGTGCGTGTGTTTGCATGAGCGTGTGTGTGTGTGCATGTGTGTGTGTGTTTGTGTCATGATGCGCGCGCCTTTGAGGTCTTCCAACCTCACCAATCTCACTGTTATCACACACGCACACACATACTCTCACTCACTCACTCACCACCTCTCTCCTCTCCTCTCCTCTCCTTTTCACCTCAGTTCAAGCGGACTGCCACCTTCACCTCCACCACCATCCCCAACGTGCTCACGCGTGACCACCGCGTTCACAAGTGACACGGCACGGCGTCTTTTCTTTGACACGCGTCGTGCTATGCTCTCTCTCTCTCTCTCGATCTTTCCCCTCCCATCTACTTCATCCATTCCATCCCCGGCGCTCACTGGAAGTTCTTCGTCTCTTGGATGTCTTCTCGTTGTCTTTGGCCCAGTGCCAGTCTGCATTTCTTTCACAAACACGCGAACGCGCATACACTCGTGTGAGCTCATGTGCGCGTGTGCAACGTGTGGGCGCTTCGTGCTGCCTTCTGTCCTAATCATCCAATCTTGTTACTGCTGTATGTGTGAGTGCATGTGTGTGTGTCTGTATGTCTATGATTTATTGTGGTTTTACATTGCGTCGCCCGCCCTCTTCTCCCCGTCACATTGTCTGCCTGCCTGCCCGTTTTTGCTTCTCTGCATGCATCACATCACGCATGAATGCGTATCTTGGTTTGCCTTGCTGGTCTTGCTTTACCCCACCCCCTCTTGCCTTCTTTCTCCTCTTCGCTTCTCGTGGTATCTGTCATCTCGCCTCGCCTGCTTGTCTCGTTCGTCTCTTGTTTGGCCCATGGTGTGGTTGTAGGCATGCTGCTGGTTCAGTTGTTGCTTCGTCATGGCTTCTTTCTTGGTGTGTGGATGCGTGCGCACTGTAGTGTGGTGTTGTCGTCTTGTATCTGTGCGTGTGTGTGCTTGTGTTCATGTGTGTGTGTGTTTGTTTATGTGCGTGTGTTTGTTTACGTGCGCGTGTGTGCTTGTGTTCATGTGCGTGTTTGCGTTCGTGTTCATGTGCATGTGCGAGTTCGTGTTTGTGTGCGCATCCACCCCTTCTCTCTTTCTCTCTCTTCGTGTCAGGGATCGTAAGCCGTCATCATCATACACCATCTCAACTTCAACACAGAACACAAACACAGCACAGCAGAGCGGTTTGGAAGCGAGGTGGAGGAAGGGAGAGTTGATCGTCAACGCGAAAAAGAAGGATTCATCAAGGACGAAAAGGAAGACAGGCACAACGCATGCACAAGACACCCACCCACCCACACACACACACACACACACACACCCACACACACACACACACACACACACACACACACACACACACACACACACACACACACACACACACACACACACACACACACACACACACACACACAATGGCGGAGGTGGTTGACTTGGGTGCGTGTGACTGGCTGGGGTTTGACCTGGACCACACGTTGGTGCGCTACAATGTGCCCGCACTCACAGACTTGATCCACGAGTCTGTGGCAGCGTTCCTGGTGCAGTACCGCAACTACGACGCAGCCGCCTTCACCTCCAAAGCTGACCCGGCCTTCTTCGTCAAGGGCCTGCTGTTTGATGCGGAGAAGGGCAACTTCCTTCGCCTACGCGCCGATGGCCACATCATCGCCGCCTCCCACGGCACCCACCGCCTGAGCGCACAGCAGGCGCAAGCCATGTACTCCGAAGCCGGGTCAAAGCTCCCAGTGCCACCGTCGTCGCCAGCGCTGCCTGGCTCCCCCACAACCCCACGCTCACGCTCCGGTTCTGGCGCACGCTCACGCTCCGGTTCTGGCGCGCGCCGTCTGCGCAGGGGACCGAGCCAGCACGTGCAGCCGCAGAGTCGCGGCCACCGCCGGGCAGAGGAGGAGGCGGAGCTGCGGACACACGCGCTGGCGGACATCTGCAAGATGCTGCTGGAGGAGGGCGTGAAGCACTCGCGGTTCTTCTACTTCAGCACGTTCTTCGACATGCCATCCGCCGCGGCACTGGCACAGGCCATCGACGCCGTCGACGAGAAGCGGCGTCAGCACCACGCACACAACCCGCTCAAGCGCTCGAAGAACGGAGACGACGTGTCTGCCAAGCACAAGGAAGGCACCGCGCCAGCAACAACAGCAACGACACATGGTGATGGTGGTGATGGTGGAACGACAGCAACGACAGCACCCACATCTGCTGCGACGACCACAGCAACCACAGCAACTGCAGCAACATCAGCAGCAACGATGTCTGATGCACCTGCGCACTGGTTTGCCGGCTCGTACACGCACGTGCTGCAGGACCTCAAGGACGCACTCACGCACAACTTCACGCCGTCACAGTTTGCCGTGAACGGTGGCTTCTTCTTTCCACAGCTCAAGCAGCACACGGAGCGGTATGTGCACGTGGCAACATCCACCCTCGTGCAGTGGTTGGCAGATATGCGGGCCAATGCAGTGCGTCTCTTCCTGCTCACCAACTCACATGTGGACCTCGCCACATTCCTCATGGACTATTCCTTTGGCAAGGTGTGCATGTGCGTGTGTGTGCAGTGTGTGCAGTGTGTGCCGTGTGTGCGTACTGTGTGTGCAGTGTGTGCCGTGTGTGTGTTTGTGTGTGTGTGTGTGCCTCTGTGTGTGTGCCTCTGTGTGTGTGTGTGTGCCTCTGTGTGTGTGTGTGTGTGTGTGTGTGTGTGTGTGTGTGTGTGTGTGTGTGTGTGTGTGTGTGTGTATTCCTTCACCATCTGCGCATTTCCCCATCTTCTTGTCTCCAACTTACATGAACATACACGCATGCACTTGGAGCAGGAGTGGCGTGCCAAGTTTGACCTTGTCATCTTCGCCGGGGCCAAGCCAGGGTTCTTTGAGAAGAGCGATATCCGCACACGGGCAGCGTTCTTCACGCCCGTGGGGTGTAGCAACGTGACGGGACCGGAAGCAGAGGAGTTGCAGCTTGGTGGCGCATACGTGCACGGGAACTACACCCAGCTCCAAGCATTCCTGGACCAGCACCGCAACACGCACGCACACGCGCACGCACACACGGAAGCAGACACAATGGCAGGCACGACCACAGACACAGCGGCGGCGCGTGACACCCATGCACGTGTCATGTATTTCGGCGACCACATCACGGGCGACATTATGGCAGCAGAGCGGCACACGTGCTGGCAGACAGTTGCTGTTGTGGAGGAGCTTGTCACCCTCAAGTGAGCACGGAGACGGGTTGGAGAGGGAGAGCATGCACTGCAGTGTGGATGGTGATGATGATAATGCAATTTTTTTTTGTTTTGTGTGTGTGTGTGTTAGTGCGTACGTGTGCTTGTGTGTGTGTGTGTTGAAGTGTGTGGGTGCTTTGGCTGCCAATCTGGCTGCATCTCTCATTGTTTGTCTGCCTCACGTCGGCTCTCTCCCATCTCCCATTTCCACACCATCACCACTCCAACCCCAACAGCCCTGCAGGCCCACCAGCAGCCCCATCATCACCATCATCACCATCATCGTCATCGTCAACAGTGCGCTGCCCCGTGCATCGGGCAGACACCGCCATCGCATCCTTCCTGCTCGACAGCCTTGATCGGTATGGCATGGCCGATGATGTGTGCCTCGTGTTCGTGCTGCTTAATGTAACACAACAACGCGCGACATACAAGCTTATAATACGCAAACCAACATCACCTACAACACAACACACCACCCAACATCACAGCGCAACACCCAACACATCACACAGCTTGTGGTTGCTCACACATACGTTTCCCTTGCAGGTGGGGTCATCTCATCCATCCACACGAATCCACAGCCGCCACGAGCACAGCCGACGACGGTGATGGTGATGGTCAAGGCAGCGGGCGCAACCCCGTGACCACGTCGACCCCATCGCGCAAAGGGAAGCAGATGCACGAGTGCACGCTGTTTGAGGCCGTGCTGCGAAACCACGCGGCGTTTGCAGTCCCGCACATGGAGGCGCTTGTGTCGAGTGCAACGACCACGTTTGCATCGTTTGCAGCGCACGACAGCACGCGTGGTGTGCACCACCACGACTACACGGTCACCGCAACCAGCGGAGGTGCAGAGAGCACGAAGCACATGGACACGGCAGCGGAGTAATGGATGTCTGTGAGTTGCGAGTGTGCGATGTGTGTGTGTGTGTGTGTGTGTGTGTGTGTGTGTGTGTGTGTGTGTGTGTGTG